ACTTTTATTTTCGGTTTCTCTTGATGAATGATGTGTTATACTTTAGCAATGTATGTAGGTACTAATTAATTACTAACTTTTGTTTTTTTTTTTTTATAGAATCATATTTGAAGCACAAGTTTAGCTTGAAGACTATATATTTAGCTATAGAATCATATTTGAAGCACAAGTTTAGCTTGAAGACTATATATTTAGCTCAAGTGGGAAGTTAGAAAGTGTACATCCATTGTACTTGATATATTGGTATGAATTATAAACTTTACTAAGCTATATTTCTTTCTCTTTATCTAGTTAATAAAAGTTTTTTCATGCTATTACAACTTGTGTATTGTTTAATGACAAATAAATGCAACTATATATATAGAATGCTTGCATCATCATATGCCTAGGTACCCGTTTAAGGCTTTCTCATTAGGAGAAAGTCTTGAATAGTCCCCGTTTGGGACTGTTCTTGAACGTTTACTCTCACTTAGGTGGTTAATGTATGTCTTTTTTTCGATTTTAAAGAACATCTTGGCTTACCATTTCCTCACCATGTTCTCTGGGTACATATATGGGTAAGTAATTATCTATATCGTGTACTTGGAGAACTGGAGGGGTAAATGCTGCCGGATTTTCCTTAAAATTGGAAAGTCGACATACATTCACTAGTGAGATTAGATGTTCCAGGATGGGTTAGGTTGAAGTGATAAGGACCCCTTGGAAGCATGCATTTTTTCAGTATATGAATGGTATATCCATGGTGTGTGTTTGAATTTGATTTACATAATATATGTAGCAATTATACATTATTCATAATATCACTAGGCGAAAAAACCAATTCCCCTCCGGTTCAAACCCCCCCTTTCCCACCGGTTTTGAACCGGGTTGTATTTGGGGGTTGCTAAAACCCCATAGTTTTCGCACCAGTTCAAAACCGGTGGCTAAAAGCACTTTTCGCACCAGTTTTTAATTAGAACCGGTGCTAAAAGTCCCCAAAATTATGTTTAAAAAAAACTTTTACCACTTGTTCTTTCCAAAACCGGTGCCAAAAATGCCCAAAAAAAAAAATTTTTTTTTTTGCATTTTTTTCACTTAAATTGTACCAAATACTTATATATAATCATAATATACATAAAAAAACATATATTTTCTTCAATAACTTGTAATATTACACTTTACAAAACCGAAAAAAAAAAATACAGAATAAAGGTCTGGAGAAGCTGTTGCTGGCTACTGCTTTCTGTTTCTGGCTTAGGTCTGGTTCAGGCTGCTGGTTCAGGCTGTTGGTTTCGTTGCCTGCTCTTTCACGTGCTGTGATGCTGCTGTTTGGTTGCTGGCCTGGTTTTGCAAAGCCTGTTGGCTGTTAGCTGTCGTCTGGTGGTGCAAAATTGAGGTCTCAAATTATGGTTATTTATTTTTATATTTTCAGTAGATGCCATCAAGATAAATTCACTTCTTCATCAGACCAAATTCAGTTACCTCAATCAACAAATTTTCAGTAGGATCAAAATAGAATTTCCAGGACCCCAGTTCTAATTACATGTATTGTTTCAAAGCTTCATCTGTAAGATGATACCATAAATATGCTAGGAGATAAAAGTTCTAAGGGAACCAAGAATATGGAGCACGAGCCTACTCAAATACTATAGAGCTGAACTAAGTGCGACCTAAATGGTCCCTATCCAAAACAAATTGAAACTGACTACTGAGCATACTTGATTTGACCTGACACAAACAACTGATTTTCAGACAATGTAACATTTAGCACTATAAGGCATGACAAATATATCTCTACACTTCCTTTTAAATGAGTGTCAGTCACAAACTAGTACTCCTTTTAACACTATAATCCTTCATTATTTGTCCTAAAAAGAAAACAAGAAATAAATATAAGATGTAGAAGTTACCCAGTATGGCCTTGCAAAGATGCCCGAAGCTCAGAACCATGAAGACTTGGATCCCATATCTTAACCTGGAAGATTTTGAAGTTAATGAAAGGTAAATCAATTTCAAAATCTTAACAATCATTAATATATCCTCGTCAAGATGTAAATGCACACAAATAAACACTCCTCGACAATTTAAGGAAAAAGTTCATAGAACATTAAGGTTAGTTTGCCCACCAAATTAATAACATAAATTATAAAACAATCATTTATCGAAAACTGCTTAGACTAAATTTCAGATAACATCATAAAACAGGGTAAATACCTGTAACCTTTCAAAAGATGCATGTCTTTAAATAGCCAAAAGGGACCAAAACTATCAACATAATCAAGACAACAAGAACATCTACTCTAACTATAATGAACTTCACGGCATTTAGTCTATGTTGACCACTAGGATTGCAAGATAATCTGCAGAAGCATTTCATACCTGTGATGAGTTTCAGCAATGCCCATTAAATTCAGATAATGACTGAATGCTCGACCAAGCATCAAAGCTTCCTCTAAATCCATTTCGGACAACTCTGATATTAGCTGCTTCTCAAGCAACTCAGCTGTGTCTTCAATCCTAGTACTTCTCATATTACATGCACTCTACAATTAATCAACACACAACATAAGGACACACAAAACAATCACATTGACAGTTTAGAAGATCAACACACAAAACTCATGCTCTTCAATGTATGGAGCCTATACAATCTGCTCAAAGTGCTCCGCTTGTTCATAAACTTCTGTCAGGTTATGAAGCGAACTACACTTTGAAACACAAAAATTGGTACGATTATATAAATTTCCAAATTTCAAGGAAACAAACTAGTAGCCACAATTCATTTGAGTTCTTGATGCATAATGTCTTCATTAGTTCATTGTAGATTATATAAATTTATATCTTTACAAGATACATTTAAGAAACACATAGTTCAGAGGGTTATAATATGACAAGGGGAATATCATTAAGTGAAGAGAATAGGGATATCATTCAAAGACTAGTACATAAAATTTAGAGATCCAAAAACTTAAATTAACTCACAAGGGCTGATGTCATGCCTGCACAGGCACCAACTGCTAGCCTTCCCAAAACTGATAGTTCCTCATCCTTTCCCCGAAAAAGTTTCTAAAGGACCCAAGTATCACCTTGTAGCTTTCATAAGCAAATAGTTGTACTGCACTGTAGGGTCTGTATAACCTGTAAGATATACTAGACCAATTGCTTAGAGTCCTAAGAATATTTCTTTCAAATCAGCTGACTAATTCCTTTCTATGCAAGTATCTTAAAGCAGTTTGTATATGGGACAGAATTCTCATCCAAACAATCGTTTATGAGCGTTCTAAGGGATGAAACTCTCATCCCAACCCTCAACCAAAACAAGATGTATTGCAGACAAAAATCAAGAGGAACAAGACAGTCCAAATTATAAATTTAGCAAACATGTTGAAGAATCTAACATAGAATTTCCTAGACTTGGCCTTCTTTCTAAATGAAGTCAGCCTAACGGTCAACCAACACAAAGCCGTGGAAGTGTCCACACTCCACAAATGATCTAAGAAAGCTGACAGATTTCTTGAATTGTATACATAAGCCAAAACAACAATTCTTAATGCATGACTCTATTGCAAAATAAAAGGTTCGCAAATAGCAGTTAAACAAGCTCAACAAGAGTTAAATTGCTATCAAATTATAATTAACGTATCATAAAATAAAAGTGGATGCACAGGTCTACGTGCTAGATAATGGACACTGTGTCTAGAAAAAGAAAAGGAAGAGAAACATAATTTCATTAGCAGCTTGTCCAACTCTTTTCAACTTCAAGGACCCAGCCAATGAAATTACAAATGTCAATTACTTAGAAATATTAAATAATATAATAATTGACACATATATCATCAAATAATCAAAGAAATCTTTTAAACCTGAAAATCCAATTTTCTTCTATAGTTCTGAGCTTTAAGTCATCACAATTGTGTTTGTATTTCTAAAGCTTATCAGCCTCACTATCAACATACTCGAATCTAAGAATGCAATGTCATCCGTTTAACATAGCACTGAATAGTTCTTCAGACCCAATTTCAAAATCAAATCATTGTTCTTGAGGGAGGATTAATTGATTAAACTTAATCCTATTATGTCCAACACTAGATTGTTTTCTCTGACTCGACCACTCTCAATGACAAATACAACAATCCAACTCTGTTTGAGTACAAAAACAAATAAACAAACAAGAACCAACATAAAAAATTAAAAAAATTAAACACACACACACACACACACACACACTTACTCTTTCTTCCTCTGCTTTCTTGTTGAAACACCATCCAACTTTTCCATCCCTGCTTCAAATCGGAGGTCATTTGCTTGCTTTCACTTCCATTTCTTCTTATTTTTCTCTTCATTTGCATCAGTGCTTACTTTTTCTTGCGGCACAGTTGATTTTTTTACCTTTTCTCTTTTAGTTCCCTTGCTTTTATCGTCCACCTCAGATTTTGAGTGAGGTTTCTGCATATAAGTTCGATAATTAAACTCAAAATTTATACTCTAATTAATAGTCATAATTCTATTTGAGCGTAATGGTAAGCCAAATTAATATAAGAACCTCCACTAATCAACTTAAGTTACCATGTCTGAGATTTCATTAGTAATGTCATAAGCTTTCCTTGTTTAAGATTATGTAGCGATTAATATTAAAGTCTTTTAGTGGACATCTAATCCAGATCTTCCTAAACAATGTATATCAAATAAGTATAAGGAAATAAGTCAAACTATAAAATGTTCATTAGTAATTATCAACCAAATTTGTTTCAATTATCAAATCAGGCTCATAATTTCTTTCTCTAGCAACATAAGAAATATTAGTGACTTACTGCATATATAGCAGTCTAAATTTTATGATCCACCATATCATCTAGTGTATAGCCTTACATTCTAATAAAAACAAGACAAGTCAGGGTAAGCAATATTAATATAGAGTATATAGTACAGTTAAGAGATATGCAGTGTAGCACTGTCATGATGCTAGAATATACAGTGACACCTATATGACTTGCTCGTCAAAATTGTACTCCCAGTCCAGCCTTTATAAAGTAAATAATCAAAATTCAGTAATCAGCAGCAGTGTCAATCATGTGGTTAAAAATAAGAGTAGAGTATACCATATGTGAAGCTACTACAATAAGCTATGTCATAACTAGAGTGGCATAGTTGGATGACCTGAAGAGACCAAAAGAATCAGAAGTGATGCAAAATCTGATGATCGAAATAATACTCAAAAAGTACATCACGGAATCCTCAAACATAATATTACTCTGTCCTCCAGCAGGCTACAAAAAGAGATTATGTTAATGATCAGGTTTGCAAGAAAACTTGTCAAATACTAAAATGGATGACAATACTTGAGACTTACAGCTACAAAACTTTTATCCTTTGAAAAACTTTGTCAAGTTTATCAGTATAGCAGTCACTAATCAGGCAATTCAATTAACACGCATATAAATTCATATTCAATTGTTTTCTATTACGGTCCTCTAGAGCCTACCTTTCTACAATCATTGTCCTCCAAACACAGATAGCAAGCTCAAGACAATGCAAAATAAAGGTTATATTTAAACAGGTGATCCCGAATTGCTGACCACACAAACAGAACAACATAAGGGGGAAACTAACTTAGTATAGCCAGAAAATAGAAAAGATTGAGTCACTATCTTAAAAACTTAGTATACTCACGTTGGAAGATTTCTTGGTGCTGGCTCACCCATGTCCTTTTCTTTCGACTCCAATGAACGTGCAACAACCAATGATCGAGGAAGATTTTCCGGAGGTGGGCCAAAAATGTTATTTCCACTGAGTTCCTTGCACTTGGCATATGACAGTCCCTTTTTGGTCTTTGAGTCTGCCTCAGCTTCTAGAGTGCCACTCAATTCACGTTGCTTTGCTACCTCTGGCAGAGAGGTAGGCTTCTTGGGTGTCACACTTTCGTCGACACTAAAAGAAATCTGGCTAATTCCATTGACAGTTTGCTGCAATTGGCAGTTACAAGAGAAAGGGTCAAGAGTTGATCCGGTGTGTCATTACAAAAAAAATATACTTTGTACGAAGTATATTAATGAAAATAAACCTGATAAACTCTCCTTTGTTTGGTAGCATACCACAAAACAATATGAACCTAATAGAGTAACAGTCAACCCTATTTTGCAGTAATAACCATATAAAGGAATTAGTTTAAGAAATTAGCAAATGATGTAACCCCGTTTATGGAAGACCATCCTATTTTGCACTACATATTTATTTCTTCAATAACAAATTAGCAAGTGCATGGTAGTCCTTATAAAAGTTACAAGCCCCTAATCTAAATAATTGGATTCACCCAATGTTATACTTCATCCGAATATATATAATTGTCACATTGTGCATTTGTGATAACCCCTCATATATACATATACTAGTATACTATATAACATAATTCTACGATATCTCTTAACAATAATCATTCTAATTATACCATCTTCCCATAAATTAAATTATTTAATCATTTATAATGAAAAACAAACATAAACCATCACAATTTCATGCATCACAACAACTTTTTCCAAAAATCCAAAATCGGTTCATGTAATGTGGTTCCAGAACAGAAATTATCAAATTAAAATTCAAAACCCCATAAAAATCATACAAGAACACTAATTCAGAACAATTCAGCTACAGGATAAATATCCAAGTGTTAACATGCTAATTGCCATTTAGGCTGCTCAAAAAGGAATGCTAAATTGCTAATTACAGGGGAGAGAGAGCATTTCAACCAAGTTTAAGGAGTTTAGGTAAAGAAAATTCAAGTCCGTCCATTATAGTCCTTTTTATTAGAGATTATCATGGTTCATCAGGCAAACTAAAGGTAAAACCATCATCTTACCTCGAAGCTGGTTCAATGGAGGTGAGAAAGCTAAGAATCGGTGGAGGTGTAGCCGTGATAAGGAGGCCGTTAGGGTGGAGGTGTAGCCATGCGCGCTTCAATGACAAACCCTATATTACCACAACCCTAAAATTACTAAATTGAACAGAAAATCAACGACAAACCCTAGATTGCGAAAGATAATCAATGAATTAGCACAATCATAAGAAAAATCTTACCTCGAAGTGAGTTCAATGGAGGCCAGAGCTGGTTTAATGGAGGTGCTACTTCAATGGAGTGAGAAAGCGCGTAAACCAATTCAATGGAGAGAGAGCAAGCTGCTTCAATGGAGTGCAGAAGGAGATGCGAAAACGAGAGGGAGATGCGAAAACGGAGAGGGAAAGCTGGGAGGAAGAGCAGGAGATGCGAAAATGGGAGGGAAAGAGAAGAGCCAAACGAAGAGGGAAAGCAGGGGGAAAAAGAAAGAAGAAGAAAGAAAGCCTTAAACCGGTTTTTTTTTTTTTAACATTTCGCACCGGTTTTAGTTAGAACCGGTGGCAAATCCCTTTTCTCCCTTATTTATTTATTTTTTTTTCGTTTGTAATTCGCACCGGTTTGAACCGGTGCGAAAAAGATGATTTTGCACCGGTTTAATAGGAACTGATACGAAAAGTCATTTAGCTTATCCCGCCCATTTCTTTTGCCACCGGTTTTCAAGAACCGGTGCGAAAGGTGCGGTGCCTAATACATTTTTTCTACTAGTGTATGTTGCTATGTTTTGGAGACAATTTACTAAATGGAGAAGGATCGTGGTTGGATGTATAGTAGACGTGATACATTGGAATTCTTTCAAGGGATTCAAGAGTTTTGCGAGAGGGCTTCATCTTATCAGCGCATAATGGGTGTCGATTGCCTCTATTGTCCTTGCGTTGATTGTAACAATGTGAAGGTGGTCAATAGTGTTGAAATCATTAGAGATCATGTAATTTGTCGTTGGTTTAGGCTTAAATACCATGTGTGGATTTGGCACGGTGAAGAAGGAGAGTACAATGGGGATGTTGATGGGAATGATGTGCATGATAGAAGCAATGAGATTCGTGTGGACGAGGAATATGGGAATGATGAATATACTATTGATAATGGTGAAGATGGAGCTGAGGATGATTAGGTGGATGAGGTCGAGAATGAAGAGGTGGATGAGATGATGCATGGAGTTGAAGGTGACGTGTTTAATTCAATATCGGAGGCTTCCAAATAGCCTTTGTATCTTGTGTGCGAAAAATACTCCAAACTATTAGCCGTGCTAACACTTTTTAACATTAAGTCGAAGCATGGGTGGACGGACACTAGTTTTACTTCTTTGTTGACCGCGTTAAGTGAAATGTTGCCTGATGGGAATGAAATTCCCAAGTCTTACTATTATGTAAAGAAGCTCATGTCCATTTGGTTTGGAGTATAAGAAGATACATGTATGTCCTAATGATTGTATTCTTTATCGAAATGAATATGAACAATTGGAGGAGTGTCCAAGATGCAAGAATTCGCGCTACAAGCGCATAAGTTGCAATGCTGGTACGAAGGGACCTCCTGCTAAGGTGTTGTGGTATCTTCCCATTATTCCAAGGTTTAAGTGCCTATTCTCAACACCAAAAGATGCTAAAAACTTGAGGTGGCATGCAGAGGGAAGAAAGAAAAGCAGAATGCTGAAGCATCCAATTGACTCCCCGCAATGGAAGAACATTGATATGAAGTTTGTGAAATTTGGTGATGAAGTCAGAAATTTAAGGCTTGGGTTATGCACGAACGGGATGAATCCATTTGGCACTCTTAGTACCCAACACAGCACATGGCCGGTACTTTTAGTGATCTACAATTTGCCTCCTTGGTTGTGCATGAAACGTAAGTATGTAATGCTTTCACTGCCAATAATTGGGCCAAGGTAACCTGGAAGCGACATAGATGTTTATCTTGCGCCACTTGTTGACGATTTGATAAAGATGTGGGGCGAAGGGGTTTCCGTTTTTTATGCTCATAAGAATGAGATGTTCACATTGCGTGCAACCCTTATGTGGACCATTTATGATTTTTCTGCACATGAAAACTTTTCAGGGTACAAGAACAAAGGAAAAAAAGTATACCCCATTTGTATTGATGACACACCAAGCATACACCTTGATAATTGTCACAAAGAGGTGTACGGACCCGAAGGTTGCTCAAGCGCAATCACCCGTACCGTAGGCAGAAAAAGGCTTTCGATGGGACAGTGGAAGAGGGGACTGCACCTAGCCATTGACTGGTGAGGAGGTTCATGCTCGAATTAAGGGTATACGAATGATATTTGGAAAAACAGAAAAAGCTGCGGACTCAACTGCTCTCTTTAAAAAGAATCAATCTTTTAGAAGCTTTTGTACTGGAAAGAACATAGCGTTAGGCACTATCTTGATGTGATACATATAGAGAAGAATGTGTGTGATGCTCTTGTGGGAACGCTGAAGAATATTCAATGCAAAACAAAGGATGGAAAGGGTGCACGGTTAGATTTGGAAAAGATGGGGGTTTGTCCAGAATTGTGGGCTTAGGAAAAGGTTAGAAAGGGAAAGGAATAGGAATAGGAAAAGGAAAATGAAATTGTTTCAAAAAAAGGAAAGGGGAAGAGCAAGGGAAAGGGAAAGGGAAAGGGAAAGGCCACGGATGCGTCAATGAAGAAAGATGAGGGTAAATGCAAAGATGAAAAGGCTTATTTACCTCCGGCTTGCTACACATTGTTAAGGGTAGAAAAACAGATGTTTTGTCCATGTCTGTACGGCATTAAGGTTCCATCAGGGTACGCATCTAACATGAAAAGTTTTGTATCCTTAAATGAAGAATTGAAGTTGATAAGTATGAAATCCCATGATTGTCACATTATGATGCAAGTATTCCTACCGATTGCAATACGTGGTATTTTACAGAAGCACGTGAGGGAAGCTATTACAAGCCTTTGTCATTTTTCAATACAATATGCAGCAAAGTGCTTGATCCTTGTACACTTGATGTTCTGCAGGCAGATGTGGTTGTGACTTTGTGCAAATTTGAGATGTATTTCCCACCCTCAGTTTTTGACATAATGGTGCATCTGATTCTTCATTTGATTCGTGAGATTAAGTTGTGCGGTCCAGTGTTCATGAGGTGGTGCTATCCTTTTGAAAGACATGTGGGTAAATTGCAAAATAAACTAAGGAATCCGGCTCACCCGGAAGGAAGTATGATTCAAGGGACCATGGGTAAGGAGATTGGTAATTTTGTGGTCGACTATATAGCCGTTGTTGAACCTATTGGTCTTCCTACTTCTTGACATGATGGGAGACTTAATGGTCATGGAACAATCGGGTCAAAACGAATGTCACTTGACCGAGATAATTTCTTACAAGCACACCTATATGTGCTGCACCATGTTGCAGATGTTCACCCATATGAGCACATGGCTAGTTTGCGTGATGAATTTCCATCGAAAGGTGAAAGGGCACTGATGCAGTTGCATAATAAGAGGTTTGTGAGTTGGTTTCGTGACCGAGTGATGGATCGATTGGATGAGAGTGTCATTGACACAATAAGGTGGCTTGCTTATGGTCTTAGGGGTGATGTTCACTCATTTAAGGGATATGACATAAATGGGTACACTTTTTGGACTGAGTGTCAGGATTTCAAATCTTCCTCGACCCAGAACAGTGGTGTAACTCTTGTGGCATTGTCAAGGGAGTTTGCAAGTACTAAGGATAAATCACCTGTTGATGTAGAGTTGTCATACTATGTTCAAATTCAAAAAATATGGGAGCTTGATTATTGTAATTTCATGGTTTCTTTTTTCCAGTGTAAGTGGGTTGATAATATCATGCATAACATCATATATGATGAATTTACTCTTGTAGATCTTGACCACTTGAATGATAGTGCGGAACCATTCATCCTTGCATCTCAAGCTAAGAACGTGTTCTACGTAACTGACCCAGTCGATTCAAAATGGTCTATTGTGCTAGCCGGCAAAAGAAGAATCCTAGGAATTGGAGATGTTGAGGATGAGGAAAAATATGATGCGTTTGATGATTCAGCACCTTTCACTATTCCTAGACCTGTTGTACTAAATGACATAAACGACCAAGCAAATTATATGCGATCTAACCACAACGAAGGAATATTAGATTAGGGTACTATTATTTGTGATTTTGAGATTGTAAGCATTGAAAGTATTATAACATCACAAGTTAGGTGATTTAAAGAATCATTTTGGTAAAAATAAATGAAAGTGTTAACTTACTTGCCCATTTCACATTTTCTATTAAATGAATGAAGTTCCTCTCAAAACATGTTAAATATGATAGGATATAATATTTGAAGTGTTCACAGTATCATAAAATCACAAGTTAGGTGATTTAGAGAGTTATTTTGGTGAAAATGGAATAAAAATGACCTATATGTTAACTTACTTTCCAATTTATATTTGATTATAACTTTACCTAACAAATTTTTTTCTATTATAACTAATAACGTGTTATGTTTGTAATGGCAGGTGTTTATATCTCATGGAGGACGATGATGACCTTAATTGTGTAAAGGATATGGAGGATGATGATGATGATGATGATGTCAATGAGGATGAGGACGAGCTTTATGATGTCAACAAGGAGAATAATT